CTTCCTTCCTTCCTTCCTTCCTTCCTTCCTTTGCAGTACTGAGGCTTGAACTCTGGGCCTGAGCACTGTCTCTGAGCTTCTTTTGCTCAAGGCTGGCACTCTACCACTTGAGCCACAGAGCCAGTTCTAGCCTTTTCTGTGTATGTGGTACTGAGGAATCAAACCCAGGGCTTCATACTTGCAAGGCAAGCACTTTACCACTCAGCCATATTCCCAGCCCCTGCAAGTCTTCTATAATGTCCCTTTCCCATTATAGGTTGGCCCTGAACTCTTAATCCTCTAGGCTCAACTTCCTGAGGACTGGGATGTACCCACTATTACCCATTGTGTGTGTGTGCACACATGTGTACGAACACTAGGCCTCCAACTCAGGTTTTTGGCTTGTTTGTTTTCCTCTCATAGCTGGAGCTTTACCACTTGAGCCATACTTCTACTTTTGGCTTTTTTTTGCTGGTTAATTGGAGGTAAGACTTTTCTAGCAGGCTTTGGACCTCGATCCTCAGATCTCAGCCTCCTGAGCAGCTAGGATTACAGGGTGAGCCACCAGCACCTGGCTCATACTTTATATCATTTCTGCTGGTGAGGGCCAGAGGGGTGAAGAGTGTGATCTGACTCAGCAGGCATCTCAGCCTCAGGGCTGTGGAGGTTTGTAGTGCCCTGGGGACTCCAGTTCATAAGACATGGATACATAAGTCGGAAGATTAATTTTATTAATTTAAATCCAGAAAGATTTGTCCCAACGACTTGGAATTCTATTACCAGTTAGCCAGTTGGCTGCCTTCTTTGTAGGAAAGGGAATTTGGAGGAATCAAAGAAAAACCAAAAATCTGCTCAGAATTAGATCTGAGGGCTTGGATGGGTCATGGATAGCCACTTCCCAAAGTAGTGATCTCCCCCAGCCCGCTGCTGAGATGTTTGCAGTATTTAAGTCAGGAAATTTTGCATAGCCCACAGCCACTCCTGTCAGTCCATCCCCTCTGCACAACTTTGGTCATTGTGTCCTTGGGGCTCTGTCAGCTTCTAGATTACATCTGAGTGTTCTCACATCTCTTCAGCCAAATCCCTGCCAGCTAATTCTTGGGATGTTTCCCTCTGTATGTTGCTAAATCTCACCCCAAGTCTAATTTGACTTTCCAAGGGTGTTTGGTTCTTGGGGTGTGTGTGTGTGTGTACACATGTGTACGTGTGTACATTTGTCTCATTGTACAGTTTGCTGATATGCAGCTTTACCCTTTGTATACTACTTTTCTTGGGGGGGAAGGCTCCTGGTTGGAGAAGTTTAGGAAAACAAAAGGAATGTAGGAAAGGTTACCTTGAATCTTCCAGTAGCACTGGTTAAAAGGTGCCTCAGGGGAAAAATTGTTTTTGACTTTTTCTTCCAGTTATTTCTTAAGCTCAGTATTCTGCTGCCTGCCTTGGGGTTAGGGGTCTGTGGGCGGGGCTGCAGATTTCACCACTAACACTGGACTGTTGTCTCCACAGTGAACACTGAGAGTGAGACAGCCGTTGTGAACGTCACCTATTCCAACCGGGAGCAGACCAGGCAGTAAGTGTTCAGAAGTGGGCTTTGCTGGGTTGTGGGGGAGGTAGTCTCAGTGTGGGGTACTGGGATCCTCTGCTTGAATGAGGTGGGTTGAGGCGCGGAAGGAAGCTCCAAGCAGGCTGGGTTCTGATTACCCAGCCAACCCTAGAGTCCCTCAAAAGGTCCTTTGAGTTTTCTTCACTTCCTAGGTATCAGAGATCTCAAAGTTTCAGAAATGCTTCAGGATTATGGCAAAAACACTGAAGGGAGAGGACCCAAAGCCTTCCCTAGGGACAGACATCTGGGAGAAAAGGTTGTTTCAGGTTCCTTTGTGTGTTAATGGCGCCATCAAGTGTTTGGGAGGAGGAACTTCAGGGTTTAAAAAAAGATTTATTTATTTTTAATCATTTATTTTTTGGTTGGTCGTGGGGCTTGAATTCTGGGCTTGGATGCTATCCTTGCACTCTTTAGCTCAAGGCGAGCGCTCTACCGCTTGAGCCACAGCACCACTTCCAGTTTTCTAGTGGTTTATTGGAGATGAGAGTCTCATGGATTTTCCTGCCTGGGCTGGTTTTGAACCGTGATCCTCAGATCTCAGCCTCCTGAGTAGCTAGGATGACAGGCGTGAGCCACCAGCACCCAGCAGGATTTATTTTTGTTTATTTTTTGGTCTGTTCTGGGGTTTGAACTCAGGGCCTGGGTGCTGTCTTTGAGTTTTCTTCGCTTATCAAGGCTAGCACTCTATCACTTTGAGCCACAGCACCGCTTCTGGTTTTCTGGTGCTTCATTGGAGGAGATGAGTCAAACCTCAGATCTCAGCCACCTGAGTAGCTAGGTTTATATAGGCACGAGACAATGGTGGCCAGGTTAAAAAAAGGAATCTTTAACTGTCTAGCTATTTTTTTTGTTGTTACTGTTGTTGGTCATTGGGCTTGAACTCCGGGCCTGGGCCCTGTCCCTCAGCTCTTCAGCTCAAGGCAAGTGCTCTACCACTTTGACCCACAGCGCTACTGTTTTCTGGTAGTTTCTCAGATCTCAGCCTCCTGAGTAGCTAAGATTACAGGTGTGAGCTCAACTACCTTTCCTTTGGTATTTTTTGCCATAAAGACTAGAAGGTTTCCTAAGTGGTCGTCATGGATAGTGACTGGTGGTGGCTCCCTTTCTTCAATGTGTTCATGCTGTAACTCAGTAGAGTTCTTAGGTACCAGGAGAACACCAGGTATAACGAACACGGGTTGGAATGAACAACAGCCTCTCCTTTTATCCCCAGAGCCATCATGAAACTGAACGGCCACCAGTTGGAAAACCATGCCCTGAAGGTCTCCTACATTCCTGATGAGCAGAACGCACAGGGCCCGGAGAATGGGCGCCGGGGAGGCTTTGGCTCTCGGGGTCAGCCCCGCCAGGGCTCACCTGTAGCAGCAGGAGCTCCAGCCAAGCAGCAGCAAGTGGACATCCCCCTTCGGCTCCTGGTGCCCACCCAGTATGTGGGCGCCATCATTGGCAAGGAGGGTGCCACCATCCGTAACATCACTAAACAGACCCAGTCCAAGTGAGTCTTAGTTGCTGGGAGAGGGTGATGGCCTCAGGGAATGACTGATACCCAGGGAAGCCTTCTGGAAGCATGGTGGGGACATCAAGGCTGCCTCCCGAGAAATGTGGCTGGTTCCATTCAAGGTTCATTGCTTCTATCCAGTCCTACACTCAGTGGTAATGGCTGAGCCATGCAGTGTCCTTAGCAGGAAGGGGAGCGAAATTCCTCCTGTGAAGTTTCATAGAAAATCTCCTCAGGTAAACCCAGTGTGGGTGAATGAGCCACTGAGTACTCTGTGATTTCATGACCACCATGACAGCCCCTTACTCCAATCTTAGTTGATCATACTCCATGGGAAGGAGCCTGTGGCTCACACCTGTCATCCTGGCTACTCAGGAGGCTGAGGTCTGAGGATTGTGGTTCAAAGACAGCCCAGGTAGAAAAGTCCATGAGACTTCAGCTGTGGCTGAAGTGGTAAAGCAATAGCTTTGAAGAAAAAAGATCAGAGACAGCCCCCAGACCCTGAGTTCAAGCCCCAGGACCAGCACCAAAAAAAAAACAAACACGAAAAATAACACAAAATGGGGGAAACTCATGTCCTTATTCATAATAAGTCCTTTTATTAGATACTTTGAGTTGAGGCAGGATTTTTTTTTTTCCCCGTGTATGTTTGTACTAGGGCTTGAACTTAGGACTTGGGTGTCCTGTCTCTTAGTTTTTATTTTTTGTTGGTCATGGAGCTTGAACTGAGAGCCTGGGTGCTGTCTGAGCTATTTTGCTCAAGGCCAGTGTCTCTACCATTTTGAGCCCAGCGCCACTTCCAGTTTTTAAGTGGTTAATTGGAGATCTGAGTCACAGGAGCTGGGTGCTGGTGGCTCACGCCTGTAATCCTAGCTACTCAGGAGGCTGAGATCTGAGGATCTCGGTTCAGAGCCAGCCTGGGCAGAAAATTCCATGAGACTCTTATCTCCAATAAACCACTAGAAAACCGGAAGTGGTGCTATGGCTCAAGCAGTAGAGAGCTCACCTTGAGCTGAAGAGCACAGGGATAGCGTTCAAGCTCAGAGTTCAAGCCCCACAACCGGCCCCCCCCCCCCAAAAAAAAAAGTCTCACAGGGACTTTTCTGTCCTGGCTGGCATTGAACCTCAATCCTCAGATCTTAGCCTCTTGAGTAGTTAGAATTACAGGCGTGAGCCACAGCTCTACTTGTGACTTTTTTTGGTAGCTAATTGGAGATAAGAGTTTCACAGACTTTTCTGCCTGGGCTAGCCTTGAACCACGATCCTTACATCTCAGCCTTTTGATTTTTTTCTTTTTTTGGTCAGTCCTGGGGCCTTGAACTTTGGCCCTGGGTGCTGTCCCTGAGCTCTTCAGCTCAAGGCTAGCACGCTCAAGTGAGCCATAGCACCACTTCTGGCCTTTTGTGCTTATGTGGTGCTGAGGAATTGAAGCCAGGGCCTCATGCATGTTAGGCAAGCACTCTACCACTGAGCCACTTTCCCAGTTCACATCTCAGCCTTTCTAGTAACTAGGATTACAGGTTGGAAACATTGGGCTGGGAAATGCAGTTTTAAGCCATGGCCTGTTTGTCCCCACCCTGGCAACTGTGTAGACTGCATTCTTGTCCTCAGCCATCACCTGAAAGAGACAGAGACAGCCTGAGCACAGGATTGCCTGAGCTGGCTTTTTCCCCCTCCTAATTTTGCCTTGTGCCAGAAGAGTGGGTTCGATGCCTTTGATCAGTGGGAAATGGGGAAGTGTGAAGACCAGTGTGACTAGTGATAGCTGACTGGCTCTCACCTTGTGGTCCTCAGGATAGACGTGCACAGGAAAGAGAACGCAGGTGCAGCTGAAAAGGCCATCAGCGTCCACTCAACCCCTGAGGGGTGCTCCTCTGCCTGTAAGATGATCTTGGAGATTATGCACAAGGAGGCAAAAGACACCAAAACGTAAGGCTCAGCTTGGATCTTCTTGTCATGTCCCTCACACAGTTTTTTGCAATGTTGGGAATCAAACCCAGAGGTTTCAGCATGCCAGGTAGTTTACCTTGGCTATCTCTGAACTGTGATCCTCAGATCTCACGTCCTGAGTAGGTATAGAATTATAGGCATGAGTTACCTGATGTCTGTCATACCCAGCAAAACCTCTTAATTCTCTGGAGGGCTGTGTGAACAAGACCAGAGGGAAGACACTGTTCTATGGCTATCGGTGTGTGTGTGTGTGTGTGTGTGTGTGTATGGTGAACTCAGGCCTGCAGACACTCTACCTCTTAAGCCACGCATGCCTGCAGCCTTTTTGGCTGGTAATTTTGGCGATGAAGTCTCTAGACCTTTTTCTGTTTGGACTGGCCTGTAACCATGATCCTCAGATCTCCGCCTCCTTAGGGAGTAGCTAGGATTACAGGCATAAGCCACTGGCACCCAGCATGTTGTGCTGATTTTTGTAATCTGGCCTGTGGTTCGTCCTGGAACCCCCAGGTTGGGATGGCCTGATGATACAGTCTCAGCTGCCACCATTGATGGAGTTCTTGTTCTCTACTTCTTCCGTAGGGCTGACGAGGTCCCCCTGAAGATCCTGGCCCACAATAACTTCGTGGGGCGGCTCATTGGCAAGGAAGGGCGTAACCTGAAGAAGGTCGAACAAGATACAGAGACGAAAATCACCATCTCCTCGTAAATCTCTTATTTCTTCTTTATTGGTGGTGTTGGGGGTGGTATACTGGCCTGGGGTAGCTGTATTTCATTGTTGAGCTCTAACACCTGCCCCCTTAAGTGGGAGCTGTTTCTGCTTGTGTAAAAATAATCAAGGAAGTGTCAAAGAACATGTTCATACTCTGCAAGGACTGGAGCTCGCCCATCCTCTCTGCGTGTGGCGGGGAGTAGGAGCTGCTATAGAGGAGGCACCTCTGTTTTCTTCCTGTTATATACTGACACTCTCTTCTGCATCTTCTTTATTCTTTGGTCCATTGTGGGGCTTGAACTCTGGGCCTGGGGACTGTCCCTCAGCTCTTCAGCTCAAGGCCAGCTTTCTACCACTTGAGCCACAGCTCCACTTGTGGATTTTTCTGTTTATGTGGTGCTGAGGAGTCGAACCCAGGGCCTCATGCATGCAAGGCAAGCGCTCTATCACTGAGCCACCTTCCCAGCTCCTCTCTTCTGCATCTTGAGGTGAGCCTGCAATGTAAGAGCCAGCCTTCAGGGCATATAGGCCTCTCTGCCATGACAGAAGTTGACCCACCTTGGTCCTTTCCAGCTAGTATGGTGGGCTGCCTCTGGAAGAATGAATTAGGAGTCTCCCTTAGTGCTCTGAGTGCTTGTGCTACCTCTAGTTCCTCAGAAGCTACTCTCAAACACACAGGCAAAGGATGGCCTTGCTTGGAGCATCTGGGAAGCACAGGTGCCAGTTTTGCTTGCTTGCCAACCGACCGTAGCCTTCTGTGATTGGCTTTGTTCAAACACCTTTCTCCTTGCCTTGGTTATTGAACTGGACCCTGCAGAAATGAGTAAACCTGGTCTAGCTAGGCCTGGGCCTGTGCTGCTGGAAAAAAGCTTAAGACCACCTTGCTCTTGGGCCAGGCTGCAGGACCTCACCCTCTACAACCCCGAGAGGACCATCACTGTGAAGGGAGCCATCGAGAACTGCTGCAGGGCTGAGCAGGAGATCATGAAGAAAGTTCGGGAGGCCTACGAGAACGATGTGGCCGCCATGAGTGTGAGTGCCGGGCAGCACCTCTCTGTGGCACCCTTCCCTACGCTTGTGCAGCAGCAGTGGACAGGCAAATGACAGGCCCTGGCCCTGTGGCCTCGGAATTTCCTTTTCACTTGTGAACCTCAGTTTATTTGATTTTTGGGGTGGTAGTGGTGGTGTTTGGGATCAGATCAAATCCTGAACCACACATACATCAGGCAAGGGGTCCACCATTGAGCTGTAGGGTTCAACCACTGAATGACAAGCTCAGCTCCACAAGTAGGTGGGTTTTTTGTTCGTTTGTTTTGTTGTTGTTTATTTGGATACTCATACTGGGGCTTGAACTCAGAGCCTCGGTATTGTCCCTTAGCTCTTTCACTCAATGTTGGTGCTCTGCCACTTGAGTCACAACTCTACTTACAGCTTTTTGCTGGTTAACTAGAGATAAATGGGGATCCTCAGATCTCAGCTTCCTGAGTAGCTGGAATTACAGATGTGCGCCAACAACTGGCTTCAGCTGATCCCCTCCCTCCCAGATGGGGATGGGTGGGTGCATGCTGTATGGGAGAGGGACATTTCACTCATTGGCTGGCGTGCTGCCACCTGAGCCATGCCTCCAACCCTTTTTTTTTTGTCAGTCGTAGGGCTTGAACTCTGGGCCTGAGCGCTGTCCCTCAGCTCTTCAGCTCAAGGCGAGCGCTCTACCAGTTGAGCCACAGTGCCACTTCCAGTGTTCTGGAAGGTTTTTGTTGGAGATAGAAGAAATAAAAGTCTCACAGACTTCATTGCCTGGGTTAGCTTTGAACCATGATCCTCAGATCTCAGCCTCCTGAGTAGCTAGGATTACAGATGTAAGCCACTGGTGCCCTTTGCCTTCAACCCTTGTAACTAGTTTTTAAGTCGGTGTGTGTGTGTGTGAGTGCATGACAAAAAGCTTTAGAACCACTGGGTCCTAGGAGTCAGGGGGACACTCTGTCTCCCTGCTACTCATAGAGGGAGGAGCCTTACATGCCCAGAATGAGTGATTTGTCCCCATCAGTGGATGGGCCACTTAAAGAAGAGGGCTCCCCGACTTTGCACAGCTGGTTGCCCTCTTGGATCAGGGTACCTGTTCTTAGGCTAGTGAGGACCTCACACATACCACTTACAACTCCCGTGTGCCAAGGAGAGCCTGTGCCGGGCAGGTCTTCATGCAGAAGCACATGGCTCTCCCTCAGGAGTACTCACCTGTTCCTTACTGTCCTTCCCCAGCTGCAGTCTCACCTGATCCCCGGCCTCAACCTGGCTGCTGTGGGTCTTTTCCCAGCCTCATCCAGCGCAGTCCCACCTCCTCCCAGCAGCGTTACTGGGGCTGCTCCCTACAGCTCCTTTATGGTAGGTGGAAGTCTTGTTCTAGGGGATCCTGGTGGGAGTTTGGTACTATGGAGGTTGGCAGAGGGGTGGAAGTCCAGGGGATGCCCCCTCCACATAGCTCTGGCACTTTGTGGAGTCCAGGCAAGGATGCTGCCTGGATGTTGGCAGCACGTATCCTTCCCTTTCTTGTAGCCGTGCTGGGCTTAAGACTAAATGGCTTGCAGCATCCTAGGCAGCCAGAGATGTAATTGCACCTGCACCTCTTCATCATTGACTCTTCAGGGGAGGGGAGGGGCTCCACTTCTGTGCCCTCTGGCCCTTGGTAAGGAGGCCTCTGTCTCGGCAGCAGGCTCCGGAGCAGGAGATGGTGCAGGTGTTCATTCCTGCCCAGGCAGTGGGTGCCATCATCGGCAAGAAGGGCCAGCATATCAAGCAGCTCTCTCGGTTCGCCAGCGCTTCCATCAAGGTGATTTGCTCTGGTTATTTCCCTGTGCTTTGGAACATTCTTCATGTCTAGTTAGGGCCGTTTCCCACAGAGCCAAAGGCCTCTTTGCTTTTGATTAATCTTCAGTGTTTCCGGGTCTCTCTGGCTGGGCAGGAGAAAGGTCAGTAGTATATAGAGCTCAGGTTCTGCCCCAGGTTCCATCCTGGCCCCACCGGTGTCCCCCAGTGAGTCCTCACTCTCCTCCTCAATATGATTCTCGGTAACCTGGCCTGGTGAGTGGCTGGCAGTGCTAGGTGAGCTGTCTTTCATGTTCCCTAGGTCCAGGTCTAGGTGAGAAAGGAAAATCTCTGATGAACCTAAATCCATTTGTTAATGTGAGCTTTAAAAGCCTCGATTGTTCTCCATGGGAAAACCTGTGTTTTTTTTTTTTTTTTT